TTGAAAAGAATACTTCTCTTAGTGCATACAGTTAATATATTGGTGAATAACTAATAATAAAGAAAAAAAAAGAGATTAGTTCAACAACCGAACGCACACATTATGATTGTACTACGAATTAAATTAATTCATTTAATCACAATATAATTTTGGATTTAAAAAAAATCTAAGTAATAAATTGATTATTGTGATTACAGTGTCGTTAATGGCTTCACATTTCATAGATTATTTAGGGATAACAAGACGAAAATTAATTTATTGAAGAAAAAATTAAGAATAGGAAGAGTTGACCAAGTTAGTTTTGTGATACCGGCTTAAACTTTTGATTTTATAAATTACATCGAATTATTATTTGAATTTATAAAATCTTATACGAGTAATAAAACTCAAAAAAAAAAAACTTCGTGTTTAAATTAAGACATTGAAGTTTGAATTTATTTTGAAATTTAATTGTGTTTACGAGTATAACTTTCAGACGGAAATTCACTTTGAACGTTACAACGTTACGACACGATTCCGTCTCAATTTATAGCAGCCCTTTTGCCCAACTCCTATTTGCGTAAAATTTCAACAAGTACTTAAAACGATTAGTTTTTGAGGTATGAAAAAATTTGTTTCAGACTAGTGCCTTTCTACCTTTCATAGTACCTAAAGAATGTTTTCGCAATAATTTGTTTCACAAAAGTGGAACACAACTTTTACTTTTAAAAAGGTTTTTGTAATTCTAACAAATGATTCACTCACGAACAACTGCATAACTTGTTAGAATTACATAAAGACTACTTTAGAAGGTAGATTTCTCATAAAAACAATTATTTCATCTCTTCTTTTACCAATTCTCATTTAATTATTGAACTTACATGTAAGTTCAATCATTTTATTCAATTGTTCATATACCTTACTATAAAACCCATTTTATAGTAAGACCCCCCAAAGGGGCCAACTCTTTATTACATTTTTTTGAGTAAAAGTTTATAAATTAATATAAATTTTAGCTTTGGTCCACAGAAGAAAAGATGTTCTGAGATGGTTCTGTTTTGGCAGCAAAAAATATAGGCCGCGGGGATACCTTAGGCGACATGACATGTCTGCAGACTGTTGTTAGTGGAGGGGCGCACAATAACTCCAACAAATTATAGGTCGGGATGCCCTGTCACCTTGTTTCTGCAAATCTACAAATTAACCTTTTCTTTTAAAAATATCTACAAGTTTCTATCATTTTGCTTAAGAATTTCACATTCTATGTAATATCGCTTAAATTCATAGTGTTCTACACGAAATGTTAATTTTCAACAAGCAAAATTCAAAAATATTTAATTTTCAATACAGCAATTCCTTTTTAATCTTTTTCGTTTCCTTTTCAAAAAACAAACAAAACTAATTTTTCCTTATATTGAAAACTAAACGATTTTTGAAATTGAATATTGAACACAAATTAAAACATTAAGTGGCGGCTCCAAATCATTATTCATGACATAAAATTTTATTATACAATTATAGCAAAGCACAGCAGTTATAAAATTGTACTTGTTACAATTCACAAATCACTCAATATAACTGGCAATGATAATTAGAACTTATAAAATATTATTACGGTTTTTGTTTTTCTTATTTAATGAAATCGGTTGTTCTTTCTGAATTAATTTTTTACAAAAGCACAATAACCATATCAAGAATAAGAGGGTATACACTAATAATAAGACTTATGCAACATTAATTCATATATCAACTGTACAACATAATGCACCATGAAGCGGCACGAAGCTTGAAATAAAAACGTCATAAAAAAAAATAATATAGCTGAACAGTAAGAACTATAAAATTCATATAAACTGAAACTAAATAGCGCACCCACAATATTTGATTATAATTTAATAAGAGTCGAGAATAGCGATCGTTAGCAGGAAATATTAAAGAATGAAAGGCAACGCAAAAGCGATTCTAAAACAAAAGACCAAACCAAAAAAAAAAAACAAAATTCTGCAAAAAAAATTTTAAAATTTCTAAGTTAAATTTATGCAAAAATTTACGTAGGTATTGTGATATTCTTTTAACATTAATAATGCTGACAGGTATGTAAATTTTAAAAATGTGGCCAATTTACAAAATTTGATCAATTACCACCAACTGTAATTGTTAGAAATGTTGTGGGAAATTTATAGATAGCGGGCTTTAAAAACATTTTGACTTCTGGTACGTTCTAGTTTTTTGGCCATACAAGATAATTAGAGCAGTAACCGTTTTCACTTAAGTGCCATATAACTGTTCAAATTTATAGTCATCTAGTTTTTTGGTTTCATTTTTCGAAAGAAGAATAAATCTTAATATTGCAGGCAACAACTCATTTTTCGAATTACTTTTTAAAAATTCTACTTTTTATTGACTTTCAAATCAAAATTCACAGTGCCTACATATCTTAAGTATCTATATTATTATTTAATTTTACTTAAGTTTGTAGGTAAAGTCAAATTCCATAATGATTGAAAATGTTTCATTGAAGTTCCTTGAAATTTTCTATCATTCCTTTTGATTAATAATCGAACATTAATCAATAATTGTGCAATTGGGAGCGTTATGATTTTGTTCCATTCAATTCTTCATAGATTATAATTTAGGCAGTTATGTAGTTAGCTATTTATTTTTTCTTTTCTATTTTTCTTTATTCCACTTATTTATTATTGTAAAAATAGCAGCGTTTTATTGTGTAGAAGAGATCATAACTCAGCATGAATTTAATAGTATTTTGGAAGTTAAAGTGGCGTATAAAGACTGCCTGTGGTACAAATATTTTCATTTGGCAAGAAAACAAGAAAAAAAATTATAAAAACCATTTGTATTTATGCAAAATTTTTGCTTTGGTGTTACTTTGAAAAGTGTTTAAAATGTTCGAAATTAGTGTAATTGGATTTCATTGAAATATAAATTGAAGTGAAAATAGAAAAATGTTATAATGGAAGTACTAGAATTTTTTAATTTATATTAAAATTTTAATATTTGACTGGTTTTATTTTTTATATCTTATTTTAACAGTTGGTTATTTAAAGTTATTAAAACAAATTGAGCAATAGAAATGAAAACGATTTTATTCAAACAAGATTTAATTGGATTTTTAAGAGAAATAAAATTAATATCACAATTTATCATTAAAAATGTATAAAAGATTTGAATAATTGAACTAATAAACAGAAGACATGTATTATAAAAGGATCAGAATTTTCAAACCGCCAGTCACATGCAAATTTTTCATTAATTTTCTGTTGAGAGGAGGGAAATTTCGTAAATTTGCTATTATGACGAATAAATCACGATTGACTTTCTATTAATATTTAAAAATAAATAAAAGAAAGTTTGTATAACGATGAATATAAAGAACTCAAAACTATAAAAATATATTGTATAATATGCAATTAGTTAGTAAAAATTAGTTGAATCAATAATTAAATTCGACTTTCAATTTACAACCATCATTTGTATGCTCACATTAAACTAGATGGCATTCTTTCCAAAATTATTTACAATTTACAGTTGCCCTATATAAGTTACTCGCCTCTCTTGAGGAAACTATTTTAGCCCCCGGGGTCTATCTTCTGCCCCACCGATAGACTGACCAGAAGGAGAAGAAATTTTTAAAAGTTTTAGAGTAATGAGGAATGCAAATAGCACTCCTTAATTTAAACTAAATAATAAAATTTTATATTACTAAAATGTTTAATAAATTTCGTTTTCTATAATTTAATAAACAAAATTTGTTTTATTGGTTTCACAGTATGTTTTATTTGAGTGGAAATTAAAAATATAAATACACCATTTTTATTATTAATTTTAATTTTATAACAAATAAATTTAACTCCTACTAATTTAATAATATCAATCTTTAATATGTCAATAATAATAACAATAATAATATTGAATAATAATAACAAAACATAAAAATATTATGAGTTTGTCATTCTTTAATAAATTTAAATGGCCCTAATTGGCTTTAACAAAATATAGTCAATAAAAGATAACAACGCATAATGAAAATGTTGTTGTACATTTTGTTTTCTAATAATTTCCCTCAACATAATTTGCATAACGAAGCAACCACCCACAGTTACATTTATAACATTTTAATTTTTTTTCTTTTATTTTATACAGTACTGCTACGTTTAAAATATTCAAGATTTCTTTAAAATATTAATTGATTTAGAGAAAGAGGTCAAAACAAAAGCATATTATAAGTTACTTAACAACAGAGTCATTAAAATGAGCAATTTATTCTTCACTAAGATTTGCTCTATGAATGACAGCGTTTTTATTTTCTCTCAAACTTGATGTCGAATCAGAAATTTAATAATTTTAAGTTCAGGAACTATTTTGTGAATTATTGATATTAAATCAGTCATTCTAGTAATAAAAGTAAAACAATTGTTTGTATTTCTAAAATTAAAATGAAGCTCGTGGTAGACCAAAAGTTTTACCATAATTAAGTTAGGATTCTTAAAATGATACCATTTGCATCTTATAATCTTCTGCATGACAACAGCAAAATAATTCAAATATGATTATTTTGTCGACAGTTTACTATAATTATAATATCGAACTTTACGTTGGGGACACTTTTTAATTTATAATATAAAATAGTAATATACCTGAGGGTATATCAGGCAATTTGCACATAACATAATACCATAAATGAAGTAACTGCAAGCAATGGACATATTTTTTTATTAATTTCATACATATTATGTTTAAAAGCAATTCTTTTAAATATATTTGACCTTAAATGTAGAAGTAAAGTTATTAAAAATATAATCATAATAATTTTCATAAATATTTTTATAAAATTATTACTTTTTCAGTTAATTTTTTTAAGAGTGACAACATGTAGGAGATTTCAAATCCATATTGATTTTGTTTTACTCGTAATTAATAATTTTATAATTTTTGACCAAATATATGAACATTACATAACATCAATTTACAATAAAATTGGGTATGAAGAAAAAAACACTTACCGAAACATTCCGCAGTATCCATTGGCAGCATCAAATGACTGTTCTGGTGGAACAACACGTTCCATTAATCGAGGAAATTGTGATAAGCATCCTATTGCAGCTAATAAATTAGGATCACCCGGTCCAACAGGTTCTGGTAGTTCTCGAGATGTTAATACACAACCAGATGATGATAAACGAAATAATGGCCTAGTGCATATATCCTGTATATCCAAAGCATTAAAATAAAATAAATTGCAAAGTTATAATAGAACACAAAATTGAAAAAAATTTTTAAATTTTTTATATGCCATAATCATTAAATATAGAAATGTCAAATATTAATTGGTTATAAGACACATTTATTGAACCTCATGCATAAATTTGAATAAATTTCATTCCATAGAACCCTTTTACTTATTAATAACTGCGGTATTAAAATAGATCCTGCACCAATCAAGTAATCATGGAATTTGTCCGTTCAAAATTTTTTAAGAAATATATTTTGGCTGAATTTTCATTTAAAATCTTTTAGATATAATGTCTTTGATAATATTATCTCATTTCTATTAGCCCTAGTTTTTATAGATTACAATGCCACTGACTGCTGCGTCATTAGAGCCACTCTTAAGAGTTCCACAAATTTTTAAATACATAATTTTCAATTCTTTACAGAAATTAGCGCAACATTATCATTTTTTTAATGTCTTTCTTGAAATAACATAAAAAGTCTCAAAAAATACTCAAACTTAAGATCATACTGGTTACATTTTACCTCAAAAACTACAAACTAATCATCAAATTGCAGTGCGTAAATTAGGCTGTAAAACGAATTACACACACAAGCTTTAAAGCCGAAGGAATCTCGCTTCCGAAATCTGTTAACATTTTAAAACAAAAATCATGAAGTTCGTGAATCGAATTGTTTTTGTGTTTGACTGCAATAAAATTAAAACAATAAAACTCTTAAATTGATTTATCAGTAAGTAAATTGCTTTAAAAGGTATTTAATATCGATTTTATTGCAGTTACCAGACCAACGTGTATGAAAGTCGTGGAAAACTTTTTCCAATTCAAGTTATTTTTTATACGCGAGGGCACAATTTGTACCTAAATATAAACAAAGCACAATTTTTTTTATAATACATCGTGACAACTTACATGAGGTCGCATCCATGTTATTGTTTTTCGTCGTGATAAAGTTTTTATATTATTTGGAAATTCTAAATCTTCGTGTAAACCTCCTGGGCCTCTTGTTATTACACCATTACCATTATGAAGACCATTATGTTGTGATTGCTGTTGTTGTTGCCTACCATTTGGTATTGAACCGTTAGATATGGCTTCTTGTGAATAATGTCTATAATATAGTAATTAAAATGAAAAAAAAATTTAAATTAAATAATTTTTTTAATGTAAAAATACATGTATTTTTTTATTAGTATTAAAGTTCAAATCGAATATTTTACCTCGAAAGACTTGTTGTCATTGGTTCATGTCCACTGTTCCATTGTCTATATTTTGAATAATGACCACCATCTGCAGAAATTAAAATATTTTATCTTGTTATAATATTATAGTAAAAATAATTAATTTGAAAAACTGAATTATATTTTTAGAACTGACTGTAATATAATTTCAGTACATAAAAAATTCAAATAGGCGACATGGTTTTTCTAAAATATAATTATGAATTTTCGATAATCACATACAACTATATAAAGGTTACAGCAATGCAGTGTTTTTAATAGAATATAGTTTAACCCCATTTGACTTATCGTCTTCTCTTTATATTAATAACAATAAAACTAAGTATAGTAACCAAATTGTGATAAGACTGAATATTAACGAAAAGATTTCATTCTACGGCTTGTAATTTGGTTGAGATTAACGTAATATTACAGAATTAATTATAAAAAAATTTTTGTGTGAATTTTGAACAAGTTCATTTAAAACATATATATTGCGACAAAATGACTACATAAAAAATGTACTTGATCTAGTCAACTCAACAGAATTTAAAATGATATTAAAGGTTGCGTATAATCTGAAATTTTCACAAGCCTTTGTATTATTTTCCGTAATAAAATAAAATACTTGAACTTACATCATTTGTACACTACTCCAATTTATATTTGACTTTTATAAATTAGATAGCGAATAACAGAAATCTTAAATACAAATTAATATAAAATTAAATACAAAACTAAAAATAATAAAAATAATTATTTGTACCAAATGATCTCAGAAAACTATTTTCAAAATTTGAATCAATGTCAGACGACAATATAGTACAAGGTAGTATGCTTGATATAAAATTTATATAAATGTAAACAGCATATCAATAGAAAGTTGTAGGAGGTTATCAGCAGAGGTTACCCTTTTCTATTTCGGAATACAATATACTCTTAAATCAAATACATACACTAAAATTGAAAATCTGATTTGATCAATACACAAAATACCGCATTGTGTTACATTCTAGTACTAATAACGTCCTAGTCAAAATATAAGTATTCCTGAAAGTATAAACTTGATTCATAGTATAGTATAATTTTCCTAAAAAGTTAATCAATTGTATTGAAAAATATAGCCCAGATATCAAGTTAAAGATATTTCATTAGTTAGTTCCTTAAACATAATCAAAAATATAAAAGCTACCATTTGTAAAGGCTCGGTGTGTCGATATTCCTGAAAACTTTGTTTGTTCCTTGTTTTAATATAATCACCAGAACGGAAATATACTGGTAAATGGATACACATACTATTCTAAATTTGGACCTCATTACATAAGCCTGGCTTATGTAATGAGGTCCATTAGTTCCTGGCACCTCATTTCTCCAAAAATCCAAGTGTTATATTTCTTTGTGGCGCTAGTATATACAAGGATATAAAATTATATAAAAGTATATAAAATTTGATGAAGTCCTCGCTTTTAAAATAGAATTTGTATAAGTATAAATCTCTATCAAAATCGGCTTATCAGAAATTAAAATGCACAGACTTAAAATCGACTAACATCTTGTCAAAAATGTTCATATAAGTTTCGCTACCATAAGGAAACTCGTTTCCATTGAAAATTCGACATTTGAAATTTTATTTTGTAATACTTGTCCTTTTGGTTGCATTGTGGTTGGTAAACAGAATTGAGAACCTAATATGCTTCTTATTCTCTTATCTGAATTGATATTATTATAAAAACAAAGCGCAATATTTTAAACGCATTCAAGTAGAGTTAATTAATTTTTATGAATTTAATTATATTTAAAAAGCGATAATAAATAAAACAAGAAATTATTTTATTTCCTTACAATTTACAAAGTACGCTCTTTATGTAAGTATGTATATGCTTTCCATACAAATATGAGCATATGCACATATTATATGTATACGAATAATAATAGAATATCACGATAATTTGGATAAAGGTCATAAATCCCATTAAATCAAAAGTTCTTTATACTTTTATTTTTTTACACTCATAAAACTGATAAATGTATTCAACATCCTCACTAATGAATAAAACAAGCAGTCATAATGCATATGCGTATATATGTATGTATACTTATGTACATACAGATTAAATATAAATACTTAATTATAGTATAAGTCAAAATGAAACAGCAAACAGTCATAGTAAAAATTTTACAACATTATAAATCATTGAAGATTTTTGACTTCCGTTAATTTAAACGGGTTAATTTGCAAAAAATAAACTAATGGGAGCCCACAATTTGACTTTGTGCATATAAACCACATATAGAATATTTTTTAATTACTTTATGAGGATGAACAATTATAATTTTTGCATAATTTGTGCGATATTGTATATATGTATGTGTATGTATAAATATTTCAATTAAAAAGAACGTGTAACCTTAGTTGTTCTTAAATAAAATCTCTGTTCGCATACTTTAATTACACTTTTGAGAAATACCTGTGTAGAATTAATTCTGGTATAAAACCCGAATTGTCAATTAGCTAACTACAAAAGCTCTAAAGTCTAATCAGCAATATGATATCTTAAACTCATTCTAATTGAATCAAATTCAAAATATCAAACACAACTCTATTCTAACACACAAAACCAAATTTCAAGTTCTGTTCAATAGCTTCATAACAATTTTTATTACTTGATCCTTCTGCGTATTTTTATGTTTTTTATGTTATGATTACAAATCTAAAGGTGCCATTGGATATCAAAATCAGGAAAAATTGAAAATGTTCTTGAGAGGTTTTCAAGAATAAGAATGGCACATGACCATATTAGCCTATTTTTTTTAAAGCAATATCCAGAAAATCTTATAAGAAAACTCATCAAAATCTTAAAAAACAATCCACAAATAAGGAGAACTTTACCTCTTACCAAAGTTCTTACCCATATTGAAAAGTTTGTATGGAATTGCGTACAACGAAACATGGAAACCTCTACCTTTTTCAATTACCAAATAATATCAAATTTCCAAAGAGAAATACGTAATATAAATCGACTTCCAATGTGATTATGAGCAATAATGCACACACATATCATGTTTATACTTATATATTTTATGGGGTCGAAATTACTATTCTATGCGCAATTAAAGCCGGCTTAAATAAAATTTAATTAATTTTATAAATTGCAAAATTACTTACAATCCGTGGTTTTATCAAAATGTTGGATTCACATCATAAAAATATTTTTTATTTTGTTCCATGGTTTGTAACTTTTAAATTAATTAAGTATATTTTGCTGTTTGTTTTCCATATTTTATTAACCATTACGATATTTTCTATTTTGTTATATTTAAAAGATTGTAAAAAATTTTAATTTTCTCACCACTAATAAATAGAAAACATATAAAATATTATAAAAATATTCAAGGAATTAATACCACAATTGAAGCATTGCTTCTTTTTCTCAATTTCCAAAGACCTCGTTTAAGTTTCCTTGTATTGCACTCTATTATTTTATTAATAAAGCAAATAATATTAAAAATAATACGAAATTTCAATGACATAATCAAAAATATATTTTATAATAATAACGATAATGAAATAATAAAAGTAATAAATATAAGTAGCGAAAAAAAAGCTATAATTCGATACTTAAGGAAAAAAAGTTACTATTTTACACTCTTAACTTACATTCACCTTACATTCACCCTATATATTAAAAGCAGACTGATGTATAAATCATTTGATATGATCTTAATTTAATACCGATTCATCAACATTAAATTTCATTTGAAAATAATAATAATTGCAGTGTAGAAAAACCAAAATTTATTTTTGAGAAAAAAAAGTAGGTGTTTCAATAACGACATTTTAAATATTATCTTGTACCATCGCAAATACGTGGAACACACTTACAATATACCTTTATATAAAATACTAAATGGAATCTCAAAACTTCAGATTACCAGACGTTCTTGAGTTTTCAATTAATTTGCCTTCAAAAATAAAAATACATTATTGTTGTACTAAAACATTTAGCCTTAAAAAAATTTCTATAATTTAAAAAAAATCTTTTACTTATTATAAGAAGAACGTTAGCGAAAATCATCTTAAGATTATAGAGCAGAAGTATATAATTATATATTCATATAAAATATACTTACATTTCCGGTAAAAAAAAAAACAAATTCAATTAATACAGAATTATTGAAACCTTGAGAGATTCAACTAAAAATAGTACTTTATAAGTACCTACTTTATTTTAGTATAGTACTCAAAACTCAGCATACTTACATATATACAAATAATACATAAATAAATAAATTTATAAATGTAAGTAGAAACATAATAATACAAAATTTTTAATTTTAGCAGGAAATTTAATTAAGTAACCCAAATAATGTAAGAGCTTAAGAGAGAAACTAAATTTCAAATTATCAAAAGTTCTTGAAAACAATTAATTATGAATTTTAAAGGCAAGGAACATCGTAAAATAAAAAAAAAAAACTTCTTCTTCTTCTTCTTCGTGTTTTAGGCTACTAGCCTGTTTTTCATATAAATGCAGCCTTAATTTTCTTGGTCTTGTGATGAAGAGGTCCAGCATTCGTTCCATCTTTTAGGTGGTCTTCCTACTGGTCTTCTGGTGCTCGGCCTGTTATTCATTGCAATCTTTGCGATTCTGTTTTCTGACATCCTATTTACATGATCTCTCCAGTTCCTCCTTCTACATCTAGTCCACCGAACAACATCTTGTATTTCGCAAGTAGATCTTATGTCTTCGTTTCGTATTTTATCTCTTAACGTATATCCACATATTTGCCTAAGAGTTTTCATTTCTGTTCTTCGGAGTATTTGCTCTGTCTTCGCGGTATCGGCCCTGGTTTCTACTGCATATGTCATTATTGGTCGAACGCAGGTCTTGTAAATTCGGACTTTATTGTCTATTAACATGTATTTATTTTTCCAAATGACATCGCGTAAGTTCCCAGAGATGGCTGCCGCTTTAGCGGTCTGCAAACTAACCTCTGTTTCAATTTGCCGGGAATCAGTAATATCGACACCGAGGTATTTGAAACGATTGACTTGTTCTATCGTTTTGTTGT